ACTGCGGGACCAGGCGCTTATCTCACTGATCCACCTAATATGACTCCTGTGTCCAAAAGGTTTTAACGAAGTGGATAATCGGAACATGGTCGTTCTTTTCGTTCGTCTCACGTATGCATGTCTTTTTCATCGACTGCTTGTTAGCATCAAACTGGGGTCGGTACTGTGTCCAAGCGACTTCTAAGCGCTCAGCATATTAATCGGTAAAGGTTGTAGTGATGGAATAATGTTCGTATTATTACAAAGGCTTCCTGACCTCACACGGTTCTTGTCACAGCATGCCTTCATCCATTTCTGATCGTTATGCTTAGATACTCAGACGCAAAAAGCAAAAGCTAACAACAAAGACCCGCAAAAAGCATGTTGTGACAAAAAACGAAAATAGCATTTATAGCCAGCGACCTTCTGCTGCTGAACGTCAGAAACCTGGATGCGAGCCATATCGGCTGTACAAAGACAAGTTCACACCTCGATCTTGCGCATTAAACAAAATGTTATATATGTTCAGGCGGATCAGTTCGACATGATCACATCTAAAATCTTCGAAAACATTCCGTCTCTCATGTGGCACACTGTAAGGTTTTATACACGTTGGTGGTTTATTACGAGCAATAGAAACGGAATGCTTTTTTTATTTTACGAGCACATTTGAAAGTAGCTGAGATGTATTCGCATGCTGTAACGGTCCGCACATGGTGAGGAAAATTCACTACGATCGAGAAGATGCCCTTACTCAAAACACATACTCTATAGACTTGAAGATCTGCCTTGACGCCGTCATCAAGTGTACATTAGATAAAAAGATCACGGGAGCATTGGTGGCAGTGTACTGACCACGATAACAAATTGGTGTCTCAACTGTATCGACAAACCTTCATATCTACTGAAGTCCGGTAGAAAATGTCATTCTAAAATGCAAAGCATACATCCTCTTCACCATAATTCTGCACGCCGTTGTCATCACCGAGTCATGAAAGCGAGGATTTCAGAGCCCTAGGCATAAAAACTTTGCACCGTGCAACTATTGATCAACTTTAGTATGGTAGGGGGTGATTGCCAAAGCAAAGGAAAATATGTTTGCCAGTCGCATCTAACTTTCACATGACCAATTCATTTGATATAAGAAAGACTGGTCGATTTTGGCGGTGGCACGAGGGTCCATTTCCTGTAAATGTAAATCATTGGAGGGATCAAATGAAAATTGGCACTGTCAATATGGAATTTGAATAAAACCATACCGTTTGTCATATGTTTATGGAAGATTGGTCGCATCAATTTACACAAATTCGATCATAAATGACTGATGCGCAAGTTTAAAAGAACAATAAAGCCCAAGAGAGGCTAGACGAGAACAACATCAATTTTTCGATATGAGGTACATCCTGCATCCCAACATACTGACTAAATCGCTTACTGCTAGCAGGATCGTAACTTATACGACATTACTTCACGAACACATGTCAAGACTTCACCACTTTAACCGGAAACGTAGCCATTACTTCACTATCCCATGGCCAAGAATCCACCCCTTGTAGCGGCAATTTGGCCACACTCCTATGACCAAGACTTCACCACTTGTAGCGGCAACGTGGCCAGTTCCACGAGCCCGGGAAACACTTGTTGCCCCCACCAAACCGACAGCGAGGCCAGTTCCACGAGCCCGGGTAACACCTGCCGCCCCCACCGTAGCGGCAACGCGGCCAATTCCAGGATCCAGGAAAGCATCGATGTACGTTTTCGACAGGACCAGATTCATCGTAGTCGCTTTCCGTGTCGTCTCCACCTTCGTTAACCATCGCATCCAAAGTTTCAGGCTGCTCTCGCTGATCGTACTGTCCGGACACTTCATTTTCCTGCATTCCACCCGGCTGTTCTTGTAGCTGACGGAGGCGAGTTCCTTCAGAAATTACATATTCGTCGAACAATTAAGACTGGAGATGGAATCTTTTACGACCTTGTCCTTCATTACCTTTGCGATCGACCCTTTCAAGGCCATGCGTGAGATGGAGTGCACTTGTAAAAAACACCAGCGCCAGCAGCAGCAATAGTGGAGTCATCTTCATTGTAGAGACGTACACGTTCTCCAGTACAAGGCAAATTGACTACTGAGATAAACGACAAGGGTCCAAAATGCACACTTGGCAGAAAGCCGTTGTAAGAGGCAAGTCCGTGCGTTGTAATATCCTGGTCGCCTACCTTTCCCGGAAGTGTTGTGCGACAGGTTCTTGCTAGACACGAGAATCACGGAAGGCAAGTATCTTTTAGACAGTATGAAAGGGTTTGCGCCAACACCATCTCTACATATGTAGGACTGATTTAAACTGATGTACCTGCAACACGATCTTGATGACATGTTTTCGGCTGCATTAGCGAAAAGGATGAACTAATGAATATCCTATAATGTGCCAAGCACCGATCCTTGCCATGTGCGTGAAAGTCCGCAACCATTTTTTGTCGTAAGATAATGTACTTGAGGTACGTTGATCCAATTCGTTTGAGATGTGTACCTTTCTATACATATATACTGGAGCATGGTGTCCAGACGGACACCGTCACCGCAGGCGTAGAGGTAGAAATTACAACGGTCTCGGGTCGTACACTATGCTGGTTCGACATAAGAGTACCTTCAAATGATAAAAGCTAATGTGGAAGCGACTTTCAAATTTGCGACAACTCACAAAAAATGGCATGAAAAAGATTCGATGAGACAAGTACGCTCTTCGCACTCTTACACGGGAAAGGGCCTTTCCCGTGGGTAATATGCGAAGAGGTACACACCTGAGGGATCGTTTACAGATAGGGGACTTGCGTTTCTTCCACCAAATGCAAGTCCCTCTTCCAACGACTGGATGCATACGAAGTTCGGGTTATTTATTCAACGTTCCAACCGTCGGGTTGATATTTGAAAACGGGCGGATCTGCAGTGAAGTTGTATGTACTGTTATTGCTGCTGGCGCTGGTGGCGCTGGTGTTTTTCCATGTGTTTCCACGTGCGTATGGCTTCGTAAAGGTACAACGTGAAGGCAGTAAAAATCAGGGTCGTAGACATCGCCTTCTATTGGTCGTACTCTTTCGCGTTAGCCCAGGAGACCTGCATTTGACAGCTACAAGAATGACCGCGAGAAACGTTGCAAGATGTGTCGTTCGGCTTAACATCCGGTTTGTATAAGTCACCTCTTTCTTCCATGTATTTGCAAAGGAATAGTAATGGATGAAAAGACGATGGTGATGCGTCATATTGGCTCGATGTTTCGGTGGGCAGTGGTCGAAGCTGTAGATACCATTCCCTGTGCCCCATCGTACAATGTGTATTCCCAAAAGTTTGAGTAGGGACAGGTACGTCCTCATTTCGGCCCGTCAATGACTATGTCGAGCGAGTTTACATGTGTCGATTGAAATACTTAAGTTGAATCAGATCGACTGGGTTAGGTTGCAGGTTACAAGTACTACTAAGTAAGGGCATGTGAAGTAATCGAATGCCAATCTGTTGCACGATTGGTCTGTCAATCGCTTGACCTTTGTATCTACCGAAGCACTTGCTTTCACCTTGCGTAAGTCATTGAATCCGAATATTCCAGTACAGAATACACGCAAGCACTGTGTTACGCCATTGCCGCGAAATGGGCATCGCGATGACAGACGTCTCGCTCGCGCTCGTGCATAATCTCTTTCAACAAAGTCATGTCGGCTATGCTCATCGATCCGTTTCTTTTCAGACTCCCTTAAGAGGCTCCATCTTCACTACGTCGCATCTTGGTATTTTATCCGTTATGTCAAATACGTTTGGTGCATATCGTCAAGGTCTCCATCAAGATCAAGCATGACTCCGATACTAGCTCTTTTGCCACGAGTTGGTCAAGGAATCGGATGAGTTATCTCTGACATTTTGTGTCTTGTTCATACTCGCTACCCGCAGTGGTCCTTCAGTTTATGAACAAGTTTAACTTACTTTGCACTTCCAAAAGTCGTAGATCTTGGAATAGTGTGGACGAAATCATACGGGGCAAACAATGCAAGGTGCTGTGCACTGGCAAATGGTCCTACGGACGGGCAATTCTTTTATCGCTATTTTTAGAAAAAAGGTCGCACTGTTACTACAATGGCGTAGAGCCGAATTCGCAGCTAGTTGGCTTCAGCTGATGTATTAGGTCCGCAACTAACAGGTTTTTCATTCAGTAAGTCGGAGAAGCTTTGTATGACTTGCCCACAATAGCAGTGGAACTTCGTCAGCACCAGTTTCGAATAGAAGCTGCTACACCATTGACGCACCGAAAACGCAAGGGGCAGCGAAGCAAAGTTCACTACGCATGTTACGGCACGCACCATTGGCACATTTTACTGCGATCTGGCGGTGAAACGGCCCTCTTGAAATCTTGCTTGGCAGAAGATCGATGGGTGTGACGACAAGAAGTTTGCAGCGGTCAATAAACTGCAAAGCCACGTGTGTTGTTGTGCTCAGTTGGACCGAAAGCATACGAAAAGGCTGATGACAAGGTCCAGATGGTGGTTATCCCTTCAGTGACGTGTTGTCCATCCGATGGAACCATATCCTTACTAGCGCAATGGCAGACACCTTTTTAGTAGTCACATACGTCCCTGCATAGACTGCAGTGTTAGCTAATATTCGTAGCAGCAATCCGACGGGACACCAGTCCATTTCTAAATGCGCAAGTGCACTCTACCTATTTTTACTTCACGGCTATTTGTACCGGTAGGATGGTACATGTGTCGCTGATCTTGGCGTTTTTCATCAAAGTCTCTCGTCCGCCCTCCCCCCGGTAACGATGGCATCTCCGCCAGACCCCCCAGAGAAGACTATTCATCCGCGTACCACCTTCACGAACGCTCAGCGGCTTCAAATATGCACTCACCGAGAGCAAAACCCTAGTCTGACGCAGAATCAGTTGGCCGACTGGGCCCACGAGACCTTTTGCTTGCCACGGAAGCCGTCGCAGGCCATGATCTCGAAACTCCTCAAGAGGAAACCCGATCTGGAAACTATGACAACGGAGGAGTTGACCTGCAAGTCGCGACGGACCGTGCGGTTCCCTCGACTCGACACGGCATTGGCCAGATGGGTCACGTATTGTGAGGAGACGGGCGTCCCGGTCACGGGGGAGTCGATTCGACTCAAAGCTGTCCGCTTTGCTCAAATTCTGCACATTGACACGCCATTGACTTTTTCGAATGGATGGCTGTACAAGTTCAACGAACGCCATGGATTCGGAAGCTTAAGGTCGCATAAAGACAGCAAAACGTCGTCCAAAGAGGCTGTCGCGGACCTGCAACGTCGACTGCATGCTTTTGACCCTCGAAATGTCTTTAGTATGGACGAGACGGGGCTGCTCTTTGCCATGTTCCCCGATCGATCGGGCCAACAGACGTCGAATCGATTGACCATTGCATTGTGCTGCAACGCAGACGGCTCTGAGAAATTACCATTGCTGTTTGTTGGAAAGACCGAGAAACCACGAGGTTTGACGTCCTTGGCTGCAGCGGAGGATAACTACCGATGCAGTCCACACGCGCTCATGACGCGAGGGATTTTCCTCGAGTGGATTACAAACGTGGACGCCAAGTTTCGTAAAGAGCAGCGAAAGTGTGTCCTGCTCATTGACAACTCGACTGTGCATGTTGGAATCAATACCGAGGAGTTAAAGAACGTCGAGGTGGTGTTTCTGCCGCTTGGATCGTCTAACAACTTGCATCCTATGGCTGCCGGGGTCGTAACTGCTTTTAAAAGACGCTATCGACAACGGCAAATCCAACATACTCTGGACCACATGGATGCTGACGTTGGCACGCGCACACTTGCAGAACTTGACAGTGTTAGCGAGAGACAGGCACTGTCGTGGTGCATGGAGTGTTGGGATGCAGTGCCGTCCCCCTTGATCGTTCGATGCTGGCAGGATGCTGTTTTGCTGTGTTCGAATACTTCGGAAAATCCAAACGAATGCCGTGGGAGGGAAGAGGCGATTTCGGAAGAGCTGGCGGTGATGCTGTCCTGGTTACATGCGGCAGACTTACTAACGGTGGACGAGCTACTTAGTCTGCCTGAAGAGAGTGTGATTATGGACGACCCCACTGACGAAGACTTCTGCGCCGCAACGGAGTCTACGAATGTCGTTGTAAAGCCAGCAACAGGCAAAGCTGCGGATACGGAGAACGGTTTAAGCGTCGAAGAGCTCAAAGAGCACCTCAAGTGGATTGCCAAACTCTTACTTTACGCCAACGAAAAGGACATGTCAGCGGAATCCGTGAGTGGCATGCGCGTTCTACAACGCGACTTTAGGAACCAGCTTGACAAGAAACAGCAAAGTTCCAGCTAGCTGAACCATAAACATATCCGTGTGTTCCACAAAGTAGTCTACACATCATCTTGAACGCATGGGGTGTTTTAAGCTTTCGTTCCAATGATCTCACCCCCTTCTATGTTCTGTCCCACTGCCAGAGACCGCAACACCAACGATACGCATCAAAAATTTGTGCTTAAAATTGCGGCTCAAAAAGCCCATTACAGTTCATGCGAACTACGTAAATCTGGCTCAGTGCCTCAAACCCAAAGCCGGAGCCGATACTTTAAGATGCATCGATTATGCGTGTCCGTGTCGTAGCGTCAACGCACACATGACAACGAGTCCTTCGACTAGTGAGCACTTTTTACAATTGTAGATTATACCTACCACACCGTTGTCGGAGCGTAGATGAGCCTCAATAAGGACTAATGATCGGTCGGTACATTTATCGCTATCCGTAATACCGATAAGATGACTTTGCCTGCATCGCCGTCACCACTTGGTCAGCTCGGTACGTTACCCGATCACTTGCAATGAACACGATTATACTTCGACGACCTGTATTCATTCTCGCTAGATGAAAGACGTTGGCAGGTTTTAATTAAGCGTTATTCTTTCAGCTGGCGGGAATGAGTACAGATCACGGAAGCAGCATTCTGCGATATCGATAGGTGGGT